CGTCGTGAAGAGACGAAGGTGCTGGTGTTGTCCAATCTGTATATTAGGTAAGGACGTGATACGCAGCAATCTGCCAAGAAAAGAAAATGTGATGCAGAGACTTAGGAAAAACACCTATGCTCTGATACCATGTAAAACAAGTTGAGAGAGAGTTGAGAGAGTGATATTGAAAGAGAACTCTGTAATTGAAACTATATTCAGAAACCAAATAAAGGCTCCATAATATAGGAGCTGGATACAAAACATCATTATGATATAATTCAATATAATAAGGAAAAGGAGGCCGAAAGAAGGCGGGCGACCGAAAGCAGGGACAAAGAATCCTATCTATCTAGATGTATGACCATTATATACATACTATAATATATTAACATATTATATTAACAATTATATATGTTAACACTCTTAACCTATGCTTGGATCTTTTGATATTTGAATGAAAACAGAAAAAAGAATTCATAAAATAAACGTTGGAGTCATTTTCCACTTCAATAAGTCTAGGAACATAAATACCAAAGTCTACACTTCTAAAAATAATTTCAAATAAATGGTAAACTTTATGAAGATTAAAATGAAAGTTGTAATTCATGAATCTGTAATTATTTTATGTAAGAACCACTGACATGTAATTTTTCTCAAAAAAAAAACACAATACAAATATGTTTTTGTTTTTTTATAACAGTCTTCTCTGTTTATGCTAAATGACCGAGTAGCTTATCTGGAAATTATTCAGAGAGACTCAAGCATTAGCTTTGACTCAGGAAACTTTCAATACATGTAGGTGGTGTTCCCAATTCAGTACCCGAAACACTGATCGCCAGTGGAAAAGTTACAGTCAAGATTACATCCGTTATTGAGAAGTTAACAACTAACTTTGGCCATTTAAAATCTGGTGTTCTAATTCAGTCATGGGCACCCAGAACAGATGGAGACAGACGTGTGCTTACCACTGCAGATCAACCTTTTGGTCTTTATGAAACTGAAGCACTTTGTAACTTTAGAATGAAATGTATGGAGTATAAATTTTATGTGGATGCCAAAAGTGCAGATGACCCTGGGGTACTGGGCCATGTTTTTCGGCAAAATGAGCTAGCATTTACTCCATATGTGTAACAAGTCCGCGAGGGACCCTCGCTACAGTTCGGACTCGATTTTTGTCACGGTTCTTAATCTTGAACCAAAGAGTCCAAATCTGGCAAATCGTTTTGAGAAACAGATTTTAGAAAAAGTAGTGCCAAACATGGACTGCTTTGCCAGATACAGAGTCGCCACCTAAATATTTTTTAATGGGGAAATTTAGGAAACCCTAACTCGGTGCCGAAGGCCACATGTCCGTCATCACCGGAGTTGTCTCGGCTCGGGAGCTTGGGTACGATCGGGGAAGGTCAGCTATGAGCACCCCCTTTCGCCCGGTCCGAAGACCGGCCTCTACTAACCGTGATATCCGTTTTTTGAAAACTTTACGTGTTCTTATTCCATTTATTAGCCTAGAATTACTATGTTATGCGCGCAGTAAACAAGTATAGGCTAGATTGCCTAATTTGGAAATAAGCATTGCATATCCGTTTGTTTTGAAAAATGTTTTGGATTTGCTACTCGCAAGTAGGCTAAAAATGCAGATTTCAACGAGTTTTTCCAACTCAAACAATCCAACCTTCACCCACAGGCATTCAAACAGTTTATCTCACATAAGCATTTAGCCGCTTAGCAAGCATACTGTCATGTTAACATTCACACGCATGCGAGATGCTAAAGCGAAAATACTTACATCGTACTCCGTGCCAAAACAATAAACTAGTTAGCAAATATGCGTGTCCTAGTTCACGTTAAATTGCCTAATGCAACACATACAGGATGCAATTAGATAGGCCCGGCTAACCTAAGCATGGCATATGAAATGTGATCAACTATCACATATTCAATTTTTGAATTGAAGTACAAATGCGGTTAGCGTGATGTACCGAGCCTAATGCATGCAATACAAATGCATGGATGCACGCATGCATAGCATACGGTATGCTAAATTAAACGTGCCCTAATCTATCATCATAATCAGGTAAATAAAAGGGAAGAAAGAAGTGGGGATTGGAAGACATACACACCACCCACACACACTTATTACAGATTTACCCTCACTCGGAGGGACCAAATAAATATTACAAATTAATTAACTACGCAAGCTAATTAAATATTACAAATTGCCTAATCAACTAAGCAAATTAACTAAGACTAAGAAAACAGAAAAATCACCTCGGGAAACGCGCCGCCATGCATAGGCTGCCTCTGTTTTCCTTCTTTTACTCCTCTGGAGGTTGCCAAAACCTCAGGACTACTTCCTTGGATGCTGGGAGACATCACCGGCTGCACGGAATTGCCACCGGCAGTGGTATGTGGCCATCGGCACAAAATGAATCTGTCGGCAGGGAAATTATTGCCGGTCGGCACTTTACACTGCCGGTCGGCGGAGTGTTCCTGCAGAATCTGCAAATGACAGCGACAGAGGGTAAGGCAAAGCATGGCAGCACAATTCAAGGCATGTATGCGACAATCATGTCCCTTATCATGGTAATGACTCAAAGGGGCATGTGTCTCGATTCTCGGACCACCAATCACACATTTCCATGTATGATGGCCCAAAGAACCAAGTATGCAACTTTGATTTCAAATGAAATGCAAACCAATCAAACAAACAAGGCCCAATTCCTATCACCAATTCAAGGAACAAGGCATGCATGCAAGATGCAATGCAACCTAGGCATACAAGCTAAGGATGCAACATGGCATGGCAACAAACTTATGCAAGCATGCAAACAAACATGAAGCAATGCTAACCAATGCAAAGGTGGTCTTAAACATGATTTGGGCAGCTCTAATAAGGCCCAAAACAGTGGCCAAAATGCCCAAAAATGGAGGCTAAACACACATGCACACATACACATGTTATGGTCCAAGCACTCAAGCGTTAAACAAGCAACATTCAAGCACACTTGCAAAGGGATTTCATGGACAATTAGCATGCAACATGAGCTCTAAAATCATGCTAAAACATGGTGCCAAACCAAGCAATAAATCAAGCCAAGCATGCAACAAATGGCTTAAGTGCTCAAAACAAACCAATGGAGTATTGAACTACACTTAGCAAGACCAAACATGGCATGAACTCATTGACCAAAAACAGAGTTTTAGGACATTAATACAAGGCCTAGGGATCACTTAGATGGCATCCAAATGACTCAAAAACAAAGGCATGCATAATCACCAAAACATGGAACATGCAACACATGCTTCCATAGCATCAAAGAGGCATGCAAGGCAATCAAGCAAGCAAAGGCATCCAAATGACTCAAAAACAAGGCCTAGGGATCACTTAGATGGCATCCAAATGACTCAAAAACAAAGGCATGCATAATCACCAAAACATGGAGCATGCAACACATGCCTTATGAGGCATTAAAGATGCATCCAAGGTAAACATATAGGCATGCAAATAGGACTGAAATGACATGGTGGATGATCCCAAATCACCAAATCAAGACAAAGATGTCATGCTATACATGCACATACTCAAGGCCAACAAGCCCAAATACAAAGGAGCTATATCAAGCATGCCAAAATCAACCCAAACACTTATGGCAGCCTAAAACATGTCAAGATAAGTACAAAATCCTCACAAATGTAAGCCTAAAATGCTAGAAACAAGCACACAACCTAAGACATGTTAAGGCATAACAAGGCATTACATGGCAACTATGCTAAGCATGCATGGAGTACCAAAACCAAGTTAAAAACAGAGGCATAACATGACAATATTAAGCATAAAAAGCAGCCAAGTCATGGTCAATACACACTCTATCATGATGCTCCCTCAGAGGCCAAAACATGCCCTTTTAAGGACAACAAGGAGAGGGGGTGGCCCTCTCTCTTCTGGGACTTCAAGGCATCACCTTCACCACTAAAATCCCTCAAAATTTCAGTGTGAAGAGACCCCAACACCAAAATCCTGGAGTTCACAACAAAAAGGGCACAAAATGAGGCCTTCAAGGCCTAGGGTGGTCAAACTTACCAAACCACAAAACACTCTTAACAAACAACCAAGAGGGCTTAAAAACAGAACTTTTTTGTATTATACACTAAGCTCAAAAACGAATTTAAGATAGGTATAAACAAGGTGCAAAAATGGGGAATAAAGGTGTTAGTTTCTTACCCTTGATGACCCCTTCAACAATGGTGCTCCAATGGCCTTCTTTGGCTTGATTCCAACACCAAAACAACAAAATCAGTCCCTTAGAACCTCAGTAATGAAAGGAAGGTGAAACACTAGGTGTTTGTGTGCAATAGTAAGGCACAAAACACCTAGAGCACAAAAGAGAGAGAAAGAGAGATAGGATGTGTATCTAACCCTAACCCTAGAACTCAAACCCTAACAATGGCTGTCTAAGCTCTCAAAATATCTCAAGTGTCTAACCTCTCAAGCCAAGAGACCAACCCCTCTCTATATAGAAGCTTTTTGTCTTGTAAAGCTTACAAGACAAGCTTCATAAGAGAGAGATCCCTCCATACACGTGTATGGAGGGGAGCAAAAGCAAGACAACTGTCTTAAAATATCTGCAAAAGTAGATGCACAGTAATCGGCCGGCCAAAAATGCCATCTTGGCCAAAAGGAGTGCCGGTCGGCACTAAATAATGCTGACCGGCAACAAATAGTGCCGGCCGGCAATATACATTGCCGGTGGCAGCAAAAACCAGCCGGTGGCCTCTAGCCACTGCCGGTGGTGGGTGGGGATGGTCTACAAGCCCTACCCTGCCTCTCCAAGGCAAAACACAAGTGTTTGGTGTAAAACCAGACACTAAACAGTCAAGTTCGGAGATCCTGAGACGAGGCGCGCGAGCCGAGACTTCCGGGAACTCCAAACGAACACAAACATGGATAATCACCGAATGTTCAAACGGTGACGTCCAAGTCTTGAGGACGGTCAAAAATGAGGTGTCTACAATATGTCATGTATTACACATATGAAGAGTACCCGCAGCGCGATGATGCTATAAAATCGGCTGTTCAGACATCTATGGCTTTTCCAGTGATTGATCCTTCTTCCAGTCGTTGTGTTGGTGTACTTGAACTACTGTTTACTAGAGTGTTCTTCAACGCTCTGTATATAGTTAACAAAGTCAATGCAGAGCTTCAGGTTTGTCATTCCTATTATAGATAGGGGAAGATCCGTTCCAGCACTTTCTTCTTCCAACACTTAATCCAAAGCCCACAATGACTAGTTATTGAATTATGACATTTGGATTAAATGCTAGATAATAACTGAAAGAAGAAAGTGCTAGAGAAAATCTGAAGGGCCGTGGCCCTCAAATTTTATTTCTGTTTTGCACTGTAGCACACCTATAACAGCCCCGAAATTTGAGAAATTTACACCTATGGCCCTTCCAATTATGTTATGGGTCTCCCTCCTGGCAGGACTGTTTCCACCACTGCTAGTATTCATATACTATTCATTTCTTTATAATTTTTTCCCCTTTCGTATTGAGCCATTTGATCAGCTATGGTTACATCATGTCAGTTCTCCTACAGGATGCAGGTCTGGAAAAGTCAGATACATGTGGCCATATTGTCACACCGGTAAGTTGCAACTGCAATACAAGTCTCGAACATTTTTTAAAATTTAAATATTTTTTGGGTAAATGTAAATTTACCAATACTCCACTCTCACAAATACTATTTATTAAACTAGGTGGATTACAAAGCTCATAATCAGGTGCTGGTAGAATTATCAAAGGGGATAAAAGTGGTTTGTGAAACTCATAAATTACTTTTGAGTCTGGCCTGGGTTCCATGCAGTTGTGGTAGAGATGCGGAATTGGATGGCAGTTGCAATAAGCGTTATGTCAGCTGTAAGGGACAAGTCGTGAACACAATTGTTTGTATGGAAACGTTCTATGCTTCTGATGTGTGTAACCAGGGTTTTGTCAATTCTTGTTCTGACTATTACATACGAACGGGGCACGGTGTTGTTGGGAGCGCATTACGGTCCTATAGTCCATGTTTCTGCGAGGATGTGACTCGATTTAGCAAAACTGAGTACCCATTAGTGCACTTTGCACGTGCGTACAGGCTAACTAGCAGTTTTGCAATTTGCTTGAGAAGTACTCATACTGGAGATGTAAATTATGTAATAGAATTTTTTCTGCCTGGAAATATAGAAAGTGATCCGGTTCCAAGGACCTTGTTGTATTCCATATTGGCCAGAATGAAACAACATTTCCGAAATTTTACGGTTGCTTCTGGAGAAACACTGGGACAGGAATTATCGATTGAAGTTTTGAAGGATAGGAGACTATGGCATTCATCTCAAATATGCCGAATTACTATATCTACACTTACGCTAGTTTGGCCAAATGTGGGAAAGACGGTGCAGCCAGATGCAACGAATCAACAATTAATGGTGGAAGCTGATGCCATGAACAGTGAAAGGAATGTTGTTGGTCCTGAACAAAACAATGGTGATGATGTTATTTATTCTGAGAACAAGGGTTTTGTAAGGACATTAATGGAACAAAAGAGAGGAACTGGAAACCAATTTACCCGTGATTACCTTTTACAATTTTTGAAAATGCCACTCAAAGATGCTGCAAAAATGTGTGACGGTAAGCTCACGAACTCTAAAACTATTGCTTTGCTCTTTCTGTTTATCATCATAAAGAAGATAGTTTAGAACTTGCAGTACCAAAAGCAGAGAGTAATTTTCTTATCTAAATCTTTGCATTTGCAGTCAGCATATCTACGTTTAAGCGCAAGTGTAGGGAGTGTGGAATCCCAAAGTGGCCAAGGAAGGTGAAAAGAAAAGGTCCCCTCACTCAGCGCAACCAGGAAAATGAATCTGTCCAAAGAGCTAAGGATAGGGCAACCCGTCCAACGGTTGCATCTGTCGAACCTAGTGCTCTTGCTATTTCTGCACAGCCTGAAGAACCACAGGGGGAGATGGTGATTGAGAATAAGGGGACCTCACATGATTTCAGAAATCTATGTTCGAATCCAATAACACCGGAGGCTTGTCATCAGGACCTGAATTTAGGTCTCCACGTGGCAGGAACGAGTATGACTAATGAACCATTGGATTATTTTGATTGTGATAATGTTTCTACAGTACAGCCAGAAACACCAATGGAAAATGAATCTATCCAAGGAGCTGAGGGGAGGACAGCCTGTCTAACAGTTTCATTTGTTGAACCTAGTGCTCTCGCTATTTCTGCACAGCCTGAAGAACCACAGGGGGAGATGGTGATTGAGAATGAGAGGACCTCACATGATTTCAGAAATCCATGTCCCAATCCAACAACGGCGGAGGCTTGTCATCAAAGCTTGAATTTAGATCTCCACCTGGTAGGAGCGAGTATGGCTAATGAACCATCGGATTCTTGGTTTGATTACGATCATTTTTCTATAGTATAGCCAGAAACACCAATGGGAGGAATGCTAGGAGAGAGTATGGTAAGGTCAAGAGATGTAGAATGTCATCTTTCAGTAGGTGATTATTGTTTGGCGGAAAGAGATTTGCTTGTCGAACCAATGAGTACGGCTTCAGCTTCAAGAGAAACAGAATGTTGTCCTTCAACAAGAGATGATGGTTTGGAGGAATTAGGTCTCCAATGGGCACCAATGAGTATGGCTCCAGCTTCAGGAGATATAGAATGTCATCCTTCAGTAGGAGATTTGGAGAGATTAGAGCTCCAGTTAGCGTCGAGTTCTGGTTTGGAGAATTTACAGCTCTACTTGGCATCATCGAGTTCAGCAAGTGATGATTGTTTGGAGAAATTAGAGCTTCAGTTGGCACCAAAGAGTAGGGTTCTAGCTTCAATAGATATAGAATGTCATCCTCCAGCAGGAAATGATTGTTTGAAGGAATTAATGCTCCAGTTGGCACCAATAAGTATGGCTCCAGTCTCAGTAAGCGATGCTATAATTTCTACCATGCCTGAAGACTCAAATATAATACGACCATTTACTGAGAGCCCAGGACCCTCGCATATTTTTAAAAATCTTAGCCCGGCAATGCAAGATCGTGGACATGACTCAGAACAGGAATTTCAACAAGCAATTGATAGTCAGGTGGAAACCTCATCCTTTGATGATGCTCACTCTCGTATATCTGAGAATTTCAATAGGCAATTTCTAGTCTGTTCGAAAACTCACTATGATGCTCATTTTTCTATATCCTAAAACGTCATTGAGAGAAATGCCAATTAAAAATGTGGAATGTTTCATTAAGTTCGATAAAGAAGAAGAAGAAGAAGAGGAATATTTGCAATCTTGATGATGTAACTTGAAAAGACCTCCAAATATTTACTTGGTATATCCTAAGCAAAATAGGTGTTTACAAATAAATTAGTTTTCTTTTTTCTTATTTTTTGAGTTATGTTTTTCATGCATGTAATGGTTATTAGTAGGTGTTTATTTTGCAAGTTGTAGAGAAATAATTGTTATTAGAGGTGTGTTAATGGATGATATTAGTGGTGTGTTATTAGATTGGTAATTACAAATTCAAGTAAAGCCATCTCCAATGCACACTCGTATCTTTCATCAAATTAAAATTTGATGAAAATTTGGTAAAAACGGTGTTCTAACCATTTCATTAAATTGATATCAAATTAAGGAAAATGTATATTTTTCATCAAGTTAAGGAATTATTTGTCCTTGTATCAAATTTTGTAGGTAGTTATTGGTGGACGACCGGCTAGATGACCAGATTTTGGCTGACCAACCTGCTTGTAAATCGAAAATTTACTCTAGGCCGGATAATCTGCTAGGTTTGATGAAAATCTTAATTCACCATTAGATTGCATCATATGAGGTCAAACTTTTATCAAATTTTTACTCAAATCTAATGAAAGATTTGATGAATGATTAAAGACACTCCAAGTAGGTTTCAATGTTGGTAATGTTAGAGGTTTGATTTTAGAGTTTTATATATAGTTTTGATCATTTGAAATATGAATGAAAGACTTTCTTCCCAAAGTCTCTTCTAAAATTGTATGAGTAATTGTTGTGTAGTAAATTTTACTTTCAACGATAGATCTTTCAAAATTAAAGGTATTTTGCAATCTTATAAATAAATTTTATCATAATGACTTCACAAAGTAAGAAAATCGTATTTAAAATTTCAATTATAAAATTATGAGATTGATATCTTTGCAATCAGTGACATTTTGTGTCAACATCAACTCGAGCCTTTGTTTTATACAGTATATATACATGTATCAAATACTTTATAGGGTAAAATTCAATTTACTCCTTTGTGATTTGAAGCCAAAACACTGTACTTCCTATGGTTCAAATACAGTTAGAAAATTCCTATGTAACCATTAATACCGTTAGCTATAGATGTGAAATGACTGTAATATCCTTAAATCCTATAATTTTTTTATTAATTTTTTTCTCTCTCGTCTCTCATACACATAATTTATAATGTTTAACATTAATTTAATTAAATCACAATTAATTATAAATTCTTAATTATTTATTGTAATTCTTAACCTTTTATTCTAATTTTAATTTAATAATATTTTAGATCACAATTAATCATAAATATTTAATTATTTATCATAATTCCTAACTTTTTAATCTAATTTTAGATACAATTAATTGTAAATTCTTAATTAGTTTGTAATTCCTAACATGTCAATCAATCTAATTTTAATTTAATTATATTTTAGATCAATTCTCAATTATTATTTATTTAATTATTATTTTAATTAACATATTAATTTAATTTTAAGTTTGGAGAAAATGGGGATAAAATTATTTTTTTATTGTATTAATTTCACTTTATTTAAAAAAAAAATTAAACTCACTCTAAAAAATGATATGTGTAATACACTTTCCGTTAATTCAAATAAAAAAATTAAGAGTAACATTTTAGCCTAAAATCGTATAGAAACTTTGTAACTTATTCGAACCATAAAGGGCTAAATTGCTCAAACCCCAAACCAGGAAAGATGAAATGAATTTAACTCTACTTCACATGACTTGGATGCTTCTGATTGAAAGCATGATCATGGAATTGGATTGCCTGAGGCAGAGAACATGATTCAGCACGCTTCGATAATCAACCATTTTCACTTAGACCTCATTCAGCACTGGTTAATAAGTCAGTTTATTAGCTAAAAAAAAGAAAAATTAGTGAAATATCTCTCTCTAATTTTGTGTAATAAGAGAGGTTTAAGATATTTTTTTAATTAGCTAAGGTCTCTAAACATTTTCTCAGAAAAAATTCAACTTAGAAAAGTTTTGCTTGACTCATTGAAATTTCGGCTCCGACTCAGAGAAATTTCAAAAATTCTCTGTGAAATTAGAGAAATTTCTTTGAGTTTGGGCAAAATGTCTTTGAGTCGGGCAAAATTTTTCTAAGTTAAATTTTTTTTATAAAAATATTGAAGGACCTTAACTATTATGAAAATATTATATATCTTTTATTTTATAAAATTTTAATATTAGAGATCTTAAAAAAATTTGCCTCCACATTAGGCTAAAAGAAAAGTTTTAAGTCAACTTGGATTTTAATTACTCTAGAAACCCATAGGAAAACTAAAAAAGGAATAAGGATAAATTACTGACCTCATATAGTTGCCTAGTAGAAGGGCCAAAATCAGCTATTTCTTCTGGCATTAGTTCAACTAATACTACGACTTCTTTTGGGAGTCTGTTAAAATGCTAATTTATTGATCATAAATAAGTTAATAAAAAAGCTAATATTAAAAAAAAAACTAATTTGATTGACATATTTATTTCTTGGATAAATTAAATTGACATCTCTTGATATTTAGAAAAAATATAATAAATCTTACAATTTTAATATAATTACACAGATTTCTCTTTTAGTAAAGTTAAAGCAATCAAAACTAATACAAATAATATAAAGACACAACGATATATAATATAAAATATACATTTCAATGACAACATCATTTTTTCACTTATACAACTAACGAGTTTTTTTTTAATGGAAATGAGTCAAATATTATATGAATTAAAATTTTAGAGAACTCAATATAATTATGTCAAATTTATGGGACTTATTGTATTTTTTCTAAATCTCAAGTTACCCAACAAATAAATATGCCAATCAAATTATTTTTTATTTAGGGTAAATTACAATTACACTCGTTGAGATTTGCTTGATATACGGATTACCTCATGTGATTTTGAAAATTACAAATATTCCATTGTCAAAAAAATTTATTTAACAAAATTGACAGAAAAAATAAAATTTCTAATTACTCTACTATATAACAATAAAATTATTAAAATTGTAAATTGAAATATATTTTCAACATAATTAAAAATTACTAATTGACTTAATAATTTATTAATATCAATAAAAGAGATCATTTATTATGCCATTAGAAATTTGAAGAGGTATGATTTTAAATTTTTAAAATTACAAAAGACAATCTGTGTTTTAAACAAATCTCATAAAATTTATTTGTAATTTTTTTTTTTAGTATTAACTTTTTTATTGACTTATTTATAGTCAATAAATTAACATTTTAGCAAACTTTCAAACACTTCATAGTATTCGTGTAATCATATGAACTAATGCAACAAAGAATAGTTGATTTTGGCCTTTCACCTAGGCAACTAAATCACTAGGAATACTCACTCTTACATAAGCGGGCAATGCTAGAGATCAAGATTTCATTATAAAAAAAATAGTGTGCAATCTAGATTCACCCCGAGTATGGGCTCTCTCTACTATAAAAAAAGTTATAATTTGAAAACCATACTATTTTTCTTCATATTTTTTCTGCGTGGATTCTTGCTCCCTATAAGATGAGCTAATTTGAGCCCACTAAATTAATCAGACCCAATAGTTGAAGGTTGGTGGGCCCAAATTTATTGCAAGTCCAAGATTGGTGGGCCCGGTTTTATCGCCATCAAACGAGCTGAATCGCTTTAAGCCTCGAAAAGGTTCGGATCCACGAACTTAGAGACTTACTTGAGCTCGGACTCGAAAGGATTCGGATCCACGAATCTAGAGATCCGAAGCACCAGGCTTCGAATGGATTCAAACGCAATCTAGAAGTCGCTCCGTTAATGAGTTCTAGAACACTTGCGGGCTCGGAGCTTTTCGGCATTTATGCACCAGAACCATGGGCGTAATGGAGTTTAAACAAAGAACCCGATCCCGAGGACGATGAGTGGAGATAAATTCACTCTTCGGTTAAACTAGCCTATACCCGGGTCAAGGTGGCACGATCTAGGGGGTCCCTAAGACTCGGCAATATTTGCGGTAGGGCGTTCTCTTGAACTACCCCTGACCCTTCTGCGGCAGGACGTCCTCTAGGACTACCCCTAACCCTTTGGGATGATTGGGAATCATTGTTTAGGTGTGGCTACGAAGAAGGGTTCACCGAGAGGTTGATCTCCTCTTCGGGGTTTTTCTTATCCTCGGAGAGGTCACCTCCTCGGACAAGGTGGTTAGAGAGAATATTCCCCATGTGCCTTGCACATAGACTCTATTCTACATCATGAGGTGCCTATAAATAGCACCCACCCATAGCTTTACAAGGGATGGGTTTTGGAGAGAAAACTCTTGGGAAAGAACTAATTTCCCTTCTCCATTATCAACCTTGAGAGTGAAAGTGGGAGATCCATGGAAGAACCTTGCCATTATTTTCTCTCTAGCTACTTTGCCTTCTTCTTCACCCAATCTCTTATCCCCATCATCTCTTTGCTCTTGTGTTCTTAGTTGAGACTATTGAAGAGTCTAAGTCTCTCATCATCTTCTAGAGAATTCGAATTTTTTCTTCAAGGATCTTCGAAGATCTTCGAATTTTCCAACGGCGTTCTTGAACCCTCTCATACATTTGGTGACTTCACTGGGGAGGCGGATTGGTTAATGGTCTCAACAAGATCTGGAATCTACACAACTCCGGTGAAGATGGCGGGAGAAGAAGAAGTTCATCAACAAAGCTCTTCCAATGGTGGTGATGAAAGGACTCAAGTTCAAAACTCACCTCTCATCCTTGAAGCCATTCAAGGACTCCAATACACTCAACAAGAGATTCTCACGACCCTTCAAAATCTCACCCACACCATGTTGGTGATGAGTTCGAATTTCACACCACCAGCAACAAATGGAGATCAAGTTGGCGCTAACAAGCATCAACAACTTCATGGTAATGTTGGGAATGCTCAAAACCATCAAGATCCACCCCAAATTCTCCTTGAAGTTGTACAAAATAGTGTACAAAATCACGTGCTAGGAGGAACGAGTCATGGTCAACCTGCAGTCCATGGAGCACAAAATCACGCACTTTGAGGATCGAGCCATGGTCCAGCGGT